TTGGTCTTTCACCCAACGACTGAGTTGAACCCACCACACGGGTTGATGTGATTTTTTGCCAGCTGGCTGGTTTGCTCAAAAGTAGCTAGTGAATTTGCATGAATTTGCAGTTTACCCCAATGATCCACTGATGGAGGAACTCAATTTTTGGATCGGGGTTGGGATTTAGGGGGGTAGGGTGGGCCGCCCGTTTATAGCTACAAACCATCGGTTCCAATACCTGGAGTCTACAAAATGATTTTGGTATGTAGGTGGTTGAGTTTCTACGTTTCTAGGGGTCGTACCGATTCTACAAAAAAAAAGGACGCCAGGCACAGAATGAACTTCAATTCTTGGGTCTTTCGGACCGAGTTGAAAATCATCTTGTAGAGGAAAAACACATGTTAAGAATTCAGGGATCCCCCCACAATCTTTTTGTAGTAGACTCTGGGCCACATAATGTTCGGCGTGGCGCCTGAAAGATCTGAATGGCCGCTCACTCGTGCAGAGTGTTTACCAAAATCTTGGACCAACCATCTCTATAAAATATGACCGTTCAATCCGGCTTGAAATATAGGGGGAACCTTGTGCTCCACCAATTTATTAGTACAGAACGCAGCCCTTAGCCTGGATTTAGCACAAGATGAAAACCAGGGTCAAAAAGTGACGACTACAAATTGAAAAAAAAGGTCTGGGTGCACCAACATGTTTGCTACAAAATGACATGCCGCATGCCCAACGGCAAAACTCAACCCAAAAAACCAAACAGGATAACATGTATTTTTTTGAAGGTCATTTTGTAGCTGCTCATTTTTTTCCATCCATGGCCGCTCCTGTAATCCCATCCATTTTTCAAGTTGTACATGCGTCATGCTTCAGTGAATCTTAGTTGTTGTCTAGCTATTCTCCTTTAGATTTGATGGCAGTCTGAGTGGAAAACCCGTAAACACTTTTCACACTTAGAGATATACCGACCAACAACAAATACAGTCTATAAAGACCAAAGGTCCGTCCAAAAACAAAATATAAGAAATACAGGTTAAACATCCAAACATTTGTTTTTTAAACAAGTACTTTTTTGAATTGAACCGAAAATGCCAAAAGTGCCAAAAATTGGGGGATTCCAACCACTTTGATGGATATTGACATTGAGGAGATTTTTTGATTTTTGGAGTGTTTTTTTTTGAGTTTTCAGACAGCAATTGGCCTGGAGGGGTTTGAGTGGCAGATGGTGAAAGCCGTGAAAAGCCGTAAGACTCAGACTTGACCCACGAAGGCGTAGGGTTGCGGAAGTGCCATATATATATGTGTTCCTGCTGGAGGAATTCTGCCTGTAATAGCCTGTAATTTGTTGTCCAAAGTCAGGGGACAAATTATGATAGCATGTCAGTGTCATGAACACATCTGGATGTGACATTTGGCCCCTGGGTTTGACTGCAATCATGCATTGATTTGCCTTATTTCACACCTGGCGCTGTGAGCAAGAAGGTGCAAGCAGCTGCGGTGTGAAGCACCGTGCGTTTCAAGGGACCTATATCCCCCTACGGTGTTAACATCTCCTGGAACAGCACAATCTTTGAGCCTTGGCAACTCAACACCTTCGGTATTTTAACATAGCTATGGAAACCACAAGCCATTTCGTTTGATGATTTCCCTATTCAAATGGTGATTTTCCATAGCAAACCCTTAAATTACCAGAGGGTCGGTTAGAATAATCTATAGCATCTTTGAAGATGTCTGTCTATTGTTTCCAATTGGGGTTCCCATTGCAGAATGACCATGAACTTGCCGCTCAAACAATCTGGCTCAAAGCAGACACGAGCAGTTCGTGCTGCAACTAGCAAAGTCATGCCATTTCTGTCTGAAAAAATGGTCTTTCCTTTTACCCTGTCTCTTTTTGGGAAACATGGAAATATGTTCCTGGTGCTGCAGTCATATTATTGTTGTTTTCCTGAAACTGAGACAAATCCTTCCTCAGACTGTGACAAACCTTCCTAGAGAGGGTTTCCGTGTGATATGCGTCTCTCTGTAAACAACTCTTTGGCAGAGAGCCTCTGAATCGAATCGGTTCTCATCATGGCTGCTGCCGAGATGGCAAGTTGTGAGGACGGCGTCAGTCCTGTCACATCCTGCCGCATCCTGTCACCCTGGGATTGACATGGGGGCAACACGTTTTCTACCACTTAGAATTGGGCCACGCAATCTTAAGTCAAATCAACTGCCTATAAAATGGATCATATTCACACATGCCATAGCTACCATAGCTACCATAGCTACCATAGCTATAGAATCGCATAGAATCCCAATGGACTCGGATCAACACTGACAGGGACTACCCCACCTGTTTTTCTTCCCGGCGACAGGATGCTCAGCACCGAAAACCTCGTCTGAATCGTAAGACCTTGTTCGTGCTAGGCGCCATGAATTTGATTGTGCCTTGGCTGCCTTGGCTGATGGTACGCCGAACCGGGGATTTCACGGCTTCTGATGGAAAAGCAATGGTTTTCTTTAGGACAAAGGTGTCCATATTTTAGGAACTTTTGGCTGTTTTGATGGCTGATTTTAAACCAGGAGTGAGTTCATCTCAACTTGCCGAGCCAAGCAGTGCAAATGCCCAAGTTGCTAATTACTCAATCGTTTTTCTTCGAACTTAGGGTTATTTACAGGAGGTTATTTCGGATTCAAATTCACTTATCCAGATGATATTCTCTTATGTGAGTTGGTTGTCTCGTTGTTGCAGTTGTTGCATGAATGGTCCAGAGGATCTCCCCAAGCCTCCAAGGATTGCATCAACGTGAACCTTTTGACGCCATATGTGGTCGCTGACCCAGGAGTGGCATCCCCCAAAAAAGATCCGAAAAGTTGAACACCTGGAAATGATGGAAATCATCATTTTTAAATTCCTGGAAATACTCTTCTATCTTTCTAGGGGTTACCACATGTTATATATATACACATACATACATGCATATTGTAAACAGCAAGAGCTAACGTCTGGATGCCACTGGATTGACATTGTCAACTGAGGACAAGATGGTTTCGACTTATCTGAACCAGAGTCCCCAGAGCCCAGCAGTGGCACATACTGCTCCTTGACTGTGACGGATGAGGTATGGCGGGATGGATTTTGGACATGGGAGGTCTGGATTAAAAGGAATTGGTTTGGAAGGTTCTCAGCTTGAAATGGAGGACTATATATATATATATATGTATATATATATGACTATATAATATCCCTCTTTCAGAAAGAACTTGCTGAGGAATTTCCAAGGGTAGCCATGAGGCCCCTACCATGCTGTGGGCCAGCTGAGTTTAAGCAGGATTCAGGCATCTTCTTATCACACCAACATAGCTCGTTTTCATGGACGTTCATCTCACCCTCAACGGATGCATTCGATGATCCCAAATCGCTGGCATGACGTGACGCATCCCACAATGACAGTCGAGTAAACGATGAAGGCCCAAACTCTCGGGATTCTGAGGTTGGGATGCTTATTGGGCTCTACTCCCTCTGCGAGGTCATCTTCTCCCCATTGTGGGGCACCTTTGCAGATAAGGTCGGCCGCAAGTGGGGTGGCTCAGAAAATGCTGAAGGGGTTGGGAGGTGTTGGTTCTTAGCAGCAGATACTATAGTTGGATGTTCCGAAATTGCAGGAGTCCGCACCAAATAACGTAGGAGCGCAAAATCATCCTCACCACCCCGATCTCGGTGGTCTGGAACATCCCTGTTGTTGTTGTTGTCGTTGTTGCTGCTGCTGTCGTTGTTGGTTGAATGCCTAATTTTTACATAGTTTGCCCCATGTTCAATCGTTTTCGTTCCCTCGTGTTTGGTACATCGCAGTTCCTTGGTGGTTCCTTGGTGGTTCCTGTTGATTCCTGATGTTTGTTGCTGAATTCCATGGAGTGTTGCGGTTCATCTCTTCCATTTAGAATCATTTAGACATATAACGAGGCCGGCATTGTTGATTGGCCTCGGTGGATCCTGCATTGCCCCAGTGATGTTTGGTGCACCTGGCGCGCTTGGGGAGGTCCAAACCCTGGGGTTTTCTGGGTGAAAGTTGGCGACACTTCTCCATTTGTCTGATCCATGTGTTTACTTATTAAGCACTTGTTGTTGTTCTTCTTCTTTTTTTCCGGGAGGGGTGGGGGGCACCACCATTTTTTCAATAAACGGTCACCACTCTGTCCAGTCCCTTGGGGGTGCCATCTTCGTGGCCAGGTTTGGGGACTTCACTGCCAACCATCTTTGCAGCCAGGGCGTTGGATGGCTTCTTCTGTGGAAACATGGGAGCCACTGGGCCGGAGATGGAGATTCCCGACTGGGGGCGAACAAAATGAAACACAAAAAAGGGGATGCGAACAGGATGAAATGGGGGGATAGCTCCAGGAAGAAATTGATATGATATATATAAAATATAATATGATATATATATATTATATTATATAATATGATATATATATATTATAATATAATATGATACATATATATATTATAATATATTATAATATAATATAATATAATACAATATATTATAATATAATATAATATAATGTAATATAATATAATATAATATATTATAATATAATATAATATAATCTATTATAATATAATATAATATATTATAATATAATATAATATAAATATAAATATAAATATAAATATAAATATAACTATAATATAATATAATATAATATAATATGATATAATATAATATGGAAAGCCCAATGACATCATAATGTTATAGTAATAATGATAGTAAAGGAAGATGTCAGATGTAATGAATGTCTCTGGACATTGTTTGGACCATCAGACACCAAGAGGTTTATGATTTATGAACCCCAAAAAGGTAGCAACTCGGCGTAGGCTTGGAAGCCAAGGTCACTCGAACCTACCTTGGTGAGATCGTTGACGAGAGCAATGAGGTGCTCCGTTGAGTCGTTGGGAGCCCACCAGCTGGTCAATGGGTTGGGAAACCTTCATGAGTCCTCATGGTGCTAACGAGTACTCATTCATCAAACTCTTTGCTCAATACATTTCACGCTTATCAATTGTTATACCAGGCTCGCATTGACATGGGTAAGGTGACATCCGAAGTCTTGGATTTTCCTCCTTTAAGGTGTCGGACTCCGCTGACCCCTCCGGCTTTTTTTTTTCGTCGCAGGCGAAGGGTTTCAGCTTCTTGGCACTGTGCTTCTCGGTGGGGCTTTTTGTGGGGCCCATCCTGGGAGGTGAGTTGCTTGGCGCGGCCAATTGGGCACCTTGGGCGCCTTGGGGATGGGATATTTTTTTTTGGTTGATTGGATTTTGAAGGTTGAAAAGTGGAGCTGTGTGGCAGGGAGGGTTTAATCCGGTCAAGGGATCGCTTGCGATGGGGGCTCAATACATCACCAGCTGCTTCGGAGAAGAAAGGTTGGTTCTGTGATGTTCTGTGATTGTCGGTCAGCAACATGGCAAACTCCTGTAGTCGCCGATGGTTTCAAACTGAACCCCGTTGCCCACCTGTGGGAGTTGGATCTGTGCTTCGACTGAAACTATGCAGTGGCTTTCGGCCCTCTCCTCTGGATTGATGCAACCAAGGCTGGTGTTCCCAGCAGAGCGTGCCCCGCACATTTTTGGTGGGACAATCTTCGAGACGTATCCCTTCCTGTTGCCCAACCTGACTTATGTGCCCCGGAGAAGATTCGGATACATCTCAACATGGTCAGTTGACCCCTGGTGACCTGGTGTGGACTATCAAGCCCGGCGTTAGGTCTTTTTCCATTACTATTTTCCATTACTATACCGCGCTAAATGAATCATGATTGATCAAGCAGTAAAAGGGGGATGACAGGTGAGTATATCAGCGATAGCCTCGTTTCTACACGTCGAAGTGAGGCCACCATCATCTTTTTCCCCGATGGCTGAAGCTCTCAGTTTCTAGCTTTGTGTAGCGATATAGTTTGACTCTTGGAGCTTGCAGCTTGCGTGGCTCAAGCCCGAAAGTGAGTTCCCAATTTCAAAAACCAAGTCTGGGATAGTGAAGAATTAATGTTTCCTTCAAAACCAAGATACAAAGTCTGGGAAAGTGAGTAAGTGCATCCTGAAAACGACCAATTTCTTGTTGCACCCATTTGCAAAGGCCATTTTCGCGGCCATCGCGTGGGTCATTGGCTGCATCTTTTTGGAGGCCTGCTGTCGCTGCTCCCGGTTTCTAACCACTGATGGGAAAAAAGACAGGTCCCTGTCATGAATTTATCACTTTCAAGTGAAAATCAAAAAACAAACAAGTGGCAGTTGCAGTTGGGATTTTACATCCGTGATTCTGATCCTAGTTGTATGCTGGGGCAGACCACAAGAGGATGGTCCCTGACCAGAGATGGTTTCCATGTTTTTGCAAGTTTCGTCTTAGCACAATAGTAGTTACCAGGAGGTGCTTTTCTTTCCACTGGATAATGTTCACATGACAATAACCAATGGTTGAGAGACATGATGGGTCATGCCGCGAAAACATCAGTGGTTTCAACTGCGCACACACTGCTGAATGAGTAAGTGACTTACTCTGTATTGGAACTTTAGAAAGTTGAAATAGTCGTCGCCTTAATGTTTCCTAAGAAACCATCCTGGCGCAGCAATCTGACAGGAAAATGATGTGGAGAGGTAGACGTGCACCTGCAACAGCCTGAAGTCACAACGTATTCTAGAGTTTGAACATATTCGAAGCAAGTACGTCACTGGACGTCTCCAGTGATATCACTGCCACATGCAAGCCTCTTCGTTGGGCTGGTACTTGCGTAAACAACCAGCCGCCCGGCACAAATGTTGACTGAATTCATGATTTTGATTCTTAACCGCATGAAAGCTAGTGGTTTACACACACCCACACACCCCTCTGGAACCTGCTTTGAAAAATGATGATTTTCCCGTATGAGGCTGACCGGGTGGGTCACAAGTATTTTCATGTTCACCAGGCTGCCGCATTTGGATTTGAAACCATGAGAAGCTGAGCGCTCGATAGTGATGGGTACCAAGACTTTTGGCAGTAAAATCTTATAAAACCCATAAAGCACTTGGAAGAAACAACATCTAAACATGGGGCCGGTTTGGTAACTGATGATCCGTTAGTTGCGGATGGACATCGATTTTGAAGCATAGATATGTCTAGATATATAGACACACAAACAATACAACGTATAGCATATGTAACATCTACGGCAGTATAACATTGTATAAAATTGTAAATCACTATATAGCACATATATATATTATAAATAACACATACTATCATGTCACACGCACACACACACATATATATATATTATTTGCATAGTAGACCCCTAAATAGAAAGAACCACGATCATTTATCACCATATCAGTGGGATTTTCCTTTTCTAATCATATTTCATATATATTTCATATATTTTTGGGCTTCCTATATACATTTTATACACCAAAATGATCCACAGGACCTCGGCCGCCAGGAGACGCTTCCCGCCAGCCAGCGCTGCAGCTGTTTGCGGCGCCGGGCACCGTCGGCCGAAACG